TCTGTATTCATAATTTGCAACATTATGTAAAAACAAAGCTCTCAATATCTGCTTTCAAGGACTTCTTTAGTCACCCACTTTCTGCTTTCTTAAACCAGCATTTTCACAGACCCTATCTAAACCCCAAATATAAACAGATTTTAAACGCTTTATTCCAACTTATCTCCTTGCACCTTATGAGTGCATGGACAATTGATGTGGCCTTGCATTATATGCGTGGGGTATAAGGCCCAGGGGAAAAAAGACTTTTCCAAATCCTCCATAACTGGGTCCTTTGTTAAGAACCAAAGTTCAAACCCACCCTACATTTTAAGGAGCCCCATCAGTTGGGGGACAGAGCGGACAGAAAACAGCATGAATGTGGGGATGAAAAGCTTGTCTCAGGATTTGGAGGTGCTGCGGGGATTATGGTTCAACTCTGCTCTTGATAGTCCAAACTAATCAGGTCAATGTCCACAATTCCCTTCATGTAAAAAAGAATAAATTTAGCATAATATATGCCATCATTTATAATTATTTCTCATAAGTTTTTTGGCAAATTTAACTATCTCTTTATGCCAAACGATTCATTTTTTATATGTGTTCATCAAAACATCAGGTTTATATCTCTCTATTAGAATAAAAGCTTCTCTAGAGACAAAACAATTAACAAATTAAAAGTAAAACTTAGGCCGGGCGCGGTGGCTCACGCTTGTAATCCCAGCACTTTGGGAGGCCGAGACGGGTGGATCACGAGGTCAAGAGATCAAGACCATCCTGGTCAACATGGTGAAACCCCGTCTCTACTAAAAATACAAAAATTAGCTGGGCATGGTGGCGCACGCCTGTAGTCCCAGCTACTCGGGAGGCTGAGGCAGGAGAATTGCCTGAACCCAGGAGGCGGAGGTTGCGGTGAGCCGAGATCGCGCCATTGCACTCCAGCCTGGGCAACAAGAGCGAAACTCCGTCTCAAAAGCATAGAAAAAAAAAAAAAAAGTAAAACTTTACATTTGGCATAATTGACTCACTAATAATTTAACTGAATATCAAAAACTCTCAATTCCATCAAATTTTGTTTTCACAATAGCAGGTTCTGCTTAGAATGTCATACTGATTGCCATGACTAGTCAGGGAAGGATCACTATTTGAGTCTAAACAGCAGTGACATCATATTCACTTGATGAAAAAAATGCATGAGGGGACAAAGAGAGTCATCTTTGTTTGGAATTACACAGTTTTCAGTTTAACAGAAAACACTGTGGTGCTATTCAAAAAGAAAAGCAGTAACAGGAGGAACTTGATACGTCAGGGTATGTATGAGATACTAAGGTGGAAAATTCTTGTAGGCAGTTGGCTATAATCATATGGTATTCTAAAAAGGTCTCTGCCAGATATTTGGAAGTTATAAGTGTATTTTGGAAGATTGAAAGATATAAGGGTATGGAATAGTCCTTTAAATACCATCTCAGAGAAAAGGGCAACCAAAGATGGAACACAGAAAGCATCAACATTAAAAGATTGAATCTTCCACTTGCACTAGATTTTCAGGTCGGGAACATATTTTACTCGAGCATCTGGGAAGTTCTTGGCTAGAATCAGAGACTCCATTCCCACAACTTCTCTACAGAGTGACATTTGATATATTCAATACCTCGATTACAATTTTTGCTATGACCACATACACCAGTGAAGATTAAGTATCTCTTAATTAGAGTCATTGCCTTTTTAAACGCTGTGAAAATAAAAAACTAGTCTTTTTGAGCTCTTTGTTTCCTGCATGTACCTTGGAGTCTTTTTGAGTTCTTTGTTCCCTGCATATACCTTGTCACAGAGTCTCCTTACAGCTTGCCACTTTCCCACAGGCTTGGAAACAATCAGGAAGTTTAAAAACAAAGAACAGACAAAAATATCAGGCAAACTCACAAAGAGAAAGGACTCAAGGACTTAAAATCATGTGAGGTGGAATTTTGAACAACACTCATTAAATAAAAAAGGGTACTGCAAAATGCTAAAAATTACAGTTTAAGTGGAGATAAAAATTTTTGTTTTTTGATATTCATGCTCAGAATAAAGCAGCAACTTTCATTCAACAGAAATTCAGTGGAGACACAGTAGAAAGACAGACACAATTTAGTAATTGACTTCAATTTATTGCTCTCAGTTCAAGAACTATCAATGGACAAAGAAATAAATATTATAAAAGACAAATAAGAATAAAAAATTGACCTGATAGGCATCATAAAATTCTGTATAGAAAATACAGAATTTTTAAACCGCCCAAGAAATTTATGAATTATACAATGGTCCAGTAAGAAAATATCAAAATACTTTTTAATTTAGAAAATTAATGCTGCACTAGAAAATAGAGATAGAAATTAGCATCAAAATATAAGCAGAAAAGTATAAAATGTCATACTTTAAAAATGTCAAATGTTTCTAAAAATATCTTGCCTCAAAAAATCAAAACTAAAATTACAGACTAGCTGGAATATAATGTGAATAAGACAACATGTATCATCATCATCACCTCTCAGGAAAAGACAACATGGATCATCATCATCACCTCTCAGGAAAAGACAACGTGTATCATCAACGACAACTCTCAGGAAAAGACAACGTGTATCATCATCATCACCTCTCAGGAAAAGACAAAATGTATCATCATCATTGCCTCTCAGCAAATGCTACAAAAGCAGGTGGGGCGGGGGAGTTTGTAACTCAAGTGCATTTTTTAAGTAAATGAGAAAGATTTTTAAACAACTGAAATACTGGTAAGTATTTTGCTTCAGAAGCAAATTAAAGACCAACAAAATACACCAAATGAGAGAAGAAGAAAGGAATTAACAGAAAATCTGTTTACACACTAGGAGAGCTAAGAAAGTATTTTTGTAAATAAAACTGAAATACAAATCTGTGGAGTGTCTAATCAATGGAAAATATAAAATTAGAATTCAAAATTAGTGATGAGAGAGGAGACATTTACAAAGAGAGAAAAGATGCATCATAAGTAAAAAGCAAACATGATTTACAACTTTTGTACCTCTGCGTCTGATAATCCCTGATAATCTAAGCATAGTGAATGAGATAGTATTTAAGACAATATAAATTGCCAATATTGATGTGACAATAATGAATGACATTAACTGAAGGCTTGCATGTCCCAGGCATCATACTAGAATGTTATAAGCAGTAAGTCATTTAATTTTCTGCATCATTATCTCTTAACAAATAAGAAAGGGAGGATCTGAGACACTATATGACACACTCCAGTGATACATCCTCACAGACTAATGACCACTGAGATAGATGAAGAGACTGTCCATAATCTTTTCGCTTCTAAGTCCCATGAAAACTCCTCATTCTCTTAGCCCAGTGCTGTCAGCTTGTCAAGGATCAGGAAATTCTTGTCGGTTGAATAGTTTCAGGGCATAAGAAGTGGAAAACTGCCGAATACTTTCATTAAGGTTAACAACACCTGATATAAATAAAACCCAAAATATAAACAAAATGAAATGAGAACAATTCAATTCATACATCTAAAGATCAACATATCAAATAAAATATTAATAAGTAGAATCTGGCTAGTGTGTGGAAGAATAACGAATTCAACAGAACCAAACAAAATTCACTCCAGGAATTCTATTTTAAGTATCAAAACTCATTATTTAACAAATACCACATAGTAGTTTCATGACTTCTGTGGCTAAACAACAGGCTAGAACCTCCACACCCCAAGAGCTGACAGCCCTGATCCAGCGCTCTGGACTGCTTAGCCACTTTGCCTCCACGAAAAGCAATTCTTTTAGAACGTGTGTATATGACCTTCCCTATCCCCTTTTAACACTCACTTATCGGGAATGTCATGTCCTCCAAACTGGCAAAAGGAGAATCAAAACTGTGTGCACAGACCGTCTCAAAGATTCCCACCTGCCAAACACCAGTCCTGATCACCTACCCTGTAATGAGTCCTCCAGATACTGACGACAGACACAATTCTTTCCTGGTTGTTCCCCTCTTCCAGCCAACCAGGACCCAGGAGACCCGAGTTCGGTCCCAGCGCTGTCTTTTACGTTACTTGGGTGCGAAACAGGGAGAGTAAAATCCATTCGCTTCCAGAAAAATCAGTCACTGAGAAAACGCTTGAAAATCCCCGTGGCTGACCTGGCTCTGGGACTGAGCCGGCGCCGAGTTGACGTCTCATTCTCGCCACCTGCGTTCAGGAGTAGGCGGCGAAGAGTTATTCTTAACAAGCACAACCGTGCGTTCCCCACTCCCAGCCTCCCAGCTGTACCCACCTAGGATCCGAGTCCCTGCTTTTTAAAAAAGTCCTTACTATGAAATACGCGGGAAGAAACGTCTGTACAGACAGATGTGCTCTTTGCTGATGTGTTCAGGGCCTTAATTCCCAAAATCCAGGACCGGAATCCGTTTGCGCTTGATGCGTATCCGCATCCCACCGGCCGGGAGAGGCTGCGCCCCGCCCTCTCCAACTCCACTGAAGCGTTCTGGGCGGTCCCGGGTCTCCCCTCCCAAGTCCCAGCCTTCCTGGCCCTCACCCCTCAATCATCCCAGTCCCCACCTGTCCTGGGGGCCCCGGGCCCCGCAGATGCACCCCAATTCCCACGGCCCTGCCCCGCCCGACACGGGGCCCGCTCGTGGACGCGGAGCGGCAGTCGGTTCGAAGCCCGCGGGCGGGGCTCTGCCCAAGTTCCAGGAGGGATGAGAACCGGGACCTCTGGGCGGGGCGTGGGGCAAGGACCGGTTGCAGGGGAGAACGCGTTATCTCCTCTACAACTGACTTGCAGAACTGACTGCAGGAAAAAGCAAAAAAGTGCAGGAGGAGCAGGAGGAAAGAGAGGCTGGAAAGAAACTGCGCCAAATGTTTTTTTCTTGGTCAGTCTTAAAGTGTCGACCAAATTCCTTGAGCCCAAAGCTGCGGAGTCCGGTGGCCCAGCTCCTCCCCACCCACGCACCCTCCTGAGCGGCCCCACGGGACACAGAACTTGACTGCCCTCCTGACAATGACGTCACAGGACCTGAGGAGGAGCCCCCGGGCTGACACCTGCAGCAGAAGACCGCCTCAGCGCCCGGTCCCACGGCTCCACGCGAGAGAGGCCTGCTCTTCCTCCGGCAAATCTTACAGCTTCGCCTACCTTAAGCGAGTGACTTTAAAGATTCAAAGGTTTTTTTTAATTATGTATAACTATATTCCTCTTAATGGTCCTGACGTATTGTATAGCTTTCTGAAATGCTGTTTCTTGGATTAATAGAAAAATCCTTTGACACTGTAAACTGCTGGATACCTTTCCCCGAGTATTCGTATGTTTTTAAAAGCGACTGAAGAAATGAATTATCTCTCAAGTTGGCATATTTTTTGAAGACAGCAGGTAACACTCAATAAACTCATTTTGTCAAAGTAAAATGAGTAGATTCACTTCTAAACAGTGTTTCCACGTGGCTCTATGGCTTAGTTGGTTAAAGCGCCTGTCTCGTAAACAGGAGATCCTGGGTTCGACTCCCAGTGGGGCCTGATGTTTTCCTGAGAAAATCAGATGTTTCCAAAAATTGTTTTCTTGACGAGGAACTGCGTCTTCCCACTAATTGCCAAAAATTCTCACCAAACATAACAGCAGTTGGATACAATTAGATACATTCCAAATTGTTTAACTGCATCCTGCTCAGATTCCTTACTTTTAAAAAGTAAATTCTTAGGAGGAGGACAATGCAAATGTAAAACACTGTCAAAGAATAATGCGTGTGACCCACTTCAATCAGTTTCGAATGTCTTGCTTTAAACTGTGATAAAATGTTTTTTGAGCACTTACAATGTGTTAGTTTCAAGCATGTAGATAAATGAAGTAGGCACGTAGATAAACAAAATTTCTCTAGATTCCAAAAATCTCCAGCTCTATAATTGACTTCACAAGATAAGGAATTAATGAACAACGAAGCCATTAGTAGCTACAAACAAAAAATTGGGATATTTGAAAAAGGCATGGTTGCCAAAAAAAAAAAAAAAAAAAAAAAAAAAAAAAAAAAAAAACAGAGTCTTGCTCTGTTACCCAGACTCCAGCACGGTGGCATGATCTTGGCTCACTGCAATCTCTGCCTCCTGGGCTCAAGCTATTCCCATGTCTCAGCCTCCAGAGTTGCTAAGATTGCAGGCACGGGCCACGACGCCTGGCTAATTTTTGTATTTTTAGCAGAGATGGGGTTTTCACCATGGTCGCCAGGCTGGTCTCAAACTCCTGCCTCAAGTGATCTGCCTGCCTCGGCCTCCCAAAGTGCTGGGAGTACAGGCATGAGCCACCGCACCTAGCCTATTTTTTACTTTTTAATGAGAAATATTTACAATGTGGCTACTATGTTACTCTAAGTACCCTTAAGTAGCAAGATAAAATAATTGGAAAATTGTCCCTTATGTCTGGACCTCACTGCTGTTCATTTTGATTGGGGCCTTGTTGAAGTACGTTACACTGCCTGTATTCAAATCTTAGCTACTTCACTTGATAGCTAAGGGAGCTGGAGCAAATTGCTCTAGCTCTGCTGGCATTACTTTCTTCACATGTGAAATGAAAATAGTAATAAGCCAACCTAATGTAGTTGATGAGTAAGTGCACACAAAATATTTTAGAAGGATATTTGGCACACAAACAAGCAATAAAGTTCACTACATCATTGCTTTCTATCATTTATCTTATTTATTGAACAATTAGGGCCAAGTGTTTAATTCTTTTACTCTGAAAATGCCTTTGCAAAATTATGACAGTATGATAAATCTGACATGGCTCTGGCTGACTCCATCTTGCTTCTAACCTCACGGGCTGACTGTCTTCGCTCATTTCTGGGCATGGCCCAAGTTAACTTGGAGTCCTAATTAGGGAAAAGGAGTCCGGCTGGCAGGACCAAGGGAAAGCAAGAACATAAAGCAGATAAGCCATAAATCTGCCTTTCTTCATGGTCCAGGACACATAGTCCTCCTGCACAAATAACTCACAATCTTCCTGTGCTCAACTATCACCACACACCTGCAAGACAGCTCACTTCAACCTTGGCACAAGATTATCAGCACTGCACAAAGCCCTCTTCAGTTTACACCATAAACACTATTCTATACAATCTCCAGCAAGCCTTTGTTTCTTTGCAGTCAACTTCTCTCATGCTCATTTGGCCACTGCTTTCTTGCAACCTATTTTCATAATTTCTCTAATAAATCTGCCTTTCTAGGGTCTTTGCAGAAGTAATCAAGTTATGATGAGGTCATTCTGGTTTAGGGTGGGCTGTAATTCAGTGACTGGTATCTTTATAAGGAGAAAGAGAGGGGAGTTTGGACACAGAGACACAGACATACTGGGAAGATGCCTTTGTGAAGATGGAGGCAGAAATTGCAGTTACTGGCCGCAAGCCAGGGAATGAGACTGCCACTGCAAAATTACAACTGAGAAAATTATTACAGTGAAGGAAATCTGACCTAACTGACTCCATCTTGCTTCTAACCTCCAAGCTGTCCTTGCTCATTCCTGGGTATAGGCTGAAGTAACTTTGGGAGGAACTTAGTTTACAGTTTCACTTTGAAACAAAAATGATAACAGCCCTTTCCCAAAACAAACCCCCTTCCTCCCTAGGGACTAGACTGCTTTTGTAGCACTAACGGATTAGCCACAAGATTAGAAATTATGGTTTACAAGTCACGCAGCTGGAGGCTGCAAGATTCCTGACACTCCCCAAGTTGCTACTGGGGATAACATCACTATTCCATTGTAAAACCTAACAGACCCTACACTTGATGGATCAGCTGCACCACCCAGATTGATAAACTGGCTCATCTGATCTTGTGGCCCCCACCAAGGAACTGATTCAGTGCAAGAGGACAACTTCAACTTCCTATAATTTCATCTCTGACCCAACCAATCAGCATTCCCTATTCACTAGAACCTACCCACCAAATAATCCTTAAAAACCCCAATTCCCACGTTTTGGGGGAGTCTGACTTAAGAAACAATAAAACTCCAGTCTGCTGTACAGCCATCTCTGCATGAATTAAACTTTCTCTATTGCAATTCCCCTGTCTTGATAAGTTGGCTCTGGCTAGGCAGCAGGCAAGGAGAACCTGTTGGGTGATTACAGTAACACCACGGATCTCTGGCAAGCACCACAGTTGAGAGAGGGAAGGAAGGATTCTTCCCGTGAGCTTTAAAAGGAGCATGACCCTCTTCACAGCTTGATTTTAGACTTCTGGCTTCCAGAACTGTGAGAAAGTAAATTTCTATCACTTTAAGCCACCTAGTTTGTGGTAATTTGTTATGACAACCAGAGGAAACTAACACAAAACATTAAAACAAAATTACTGATTTATACTAGCAAGTAAATGAAATCTATTATTTTTCCTAAATAATAGATGACATCTGGGACATTCACATTTCAGCTTAAAATTACAAACCTAGAGTAACTTCCACTCACCTAATTGTTTTACAGTATCACAGAATCTTAGAAACCCTCTCAATTTCTTTTTCTTCCCAGTTTTTTACAGGCCACGACACCTGAATCAGCCATTGCTAAATTATGACAGTAAGAGAAATCTGGCATGCTGACTTCATCTTGTTTCCAGCCTCACAGGTTGGTTGCCTTTGTTCATTCCTGGGCATGGGCCAAACTAATTTGAGGAGAAATTTAGTTTAAAATTTAAATGATAATACCCCTTACCAAAGACTAAACTGTTCTTATAAAACTAATATAAGGCCACCAAATTAGAAGGATATGGGTCTGAATTCTAGATAGTTACCAGTCGTTATTCTGGAGGTAATAGGATTTGCAGCTTCCCCAATTACTTTTGTAGATAACATCACTATTGTACAGCCTACAATACAGTGATGTCTTTTCAGGTTTTTGCATTTCTGACAGCCACATGTCCTCTCCTATACCCGCCAATCCATCCTGTGGCCTCCACCCAGTAACTGACTCAGCAAGAGAGGACAGCTTCGATTCCCTATGACTTCATCTCAAACCAATCAATCAGCTTGCCCCTACCCTGGTCCCCTGCCCACCAAACTGTCTTTGAAACACCCATAACTTCTGTGCCTTCGGGGAGATGAGTTGAGTACTAACTCCATCCCCTTTGTGGTATGGCTGAGCTCATGTCTATTAAACTTTTTCTTTACTGCTATGCTGTGGTGTTTCTGGGTGCAGTGGGCAAAAAGGACCCCTTGGGCAGTTACACACCCATCCCCGAAATGGTGTAACTCTGTGAAGTGCTCCCATGAATTGCCCTTGGCTATCTGGAGACATCTAGTAGATTATACCACCATTCCATTCCCAGCAGCTGGTTACTGATGAATGGGGGAAGCAGTATAAAAGTCAAGTCCCTGGACTGAGTGACCATTCTGCTATGCAATTTTTATTCCAGAGCCCCTGTCTCATGGGTCAGGCCAAGGCTAGACTTTATGTGAGACCACATCATTGTTTTGTTACTTTTCTTTCACTATCCAGAGGATCATTTTCTCAATAAGTCACATACTCAATAAGGCACATCCCTTGTCTTGGGGTATGCTTTAGAGAGTCTGGCTTTGTCACCCAGGCTGGATTGCAGTGGTGTGATCTCAGCTCACTGTGACCTCTATTCCCCAGCCTCAAGCGATTCTCCCACCTCAGCCTCCCAAGTAGCTGGGACTACAGGCGCAGGACACCATGCCTAGCTAACAAGTCTGCCCTAAAAAGACTTTCAAAGTAAATTTTTGGCCAGGCATAGTGGCTCACGCCTGTAATCTCAGCACTTTGGGAAACTAAGGCAGGCGGATCACTTGAACCCAGTCGTTCAAGACCAGTTTGGGCAACATGGCAAAAACTCTTCTCTACCAAAAATAAAAAAATCAACCGGGCATGGTGATGCACGCCTATGGTCCCAGCTACTGGGGAGGCTGAGGTGAGAGGATCACTTGAGCCTGGGCGGGTGGAGGTTGCAGTGAGCCAAGATCATGCCACTGCACTCCAGCCTGGGTACAGAGTGACACTCTGTCTCAAATAATAATAATTTTAAAAATTCCTTTTACTAATTTTCCATAATCAATTGAACAAAGTTTTCAGATGGAAAAATTCAACCCAAGGGCTTTACACATAAGGATGGCATTCACACTATGTATCAGATCCTGAAAGCGAAAACTTTTGCAAGTCCAACGTGGAGAGCATGGGGTGCCAAACAAATTGGTGGCTGATTGACCTTCATTGTTATGCTGTCGTAACTTTGTTTTCTTTCAGAGTCTTTTTTGCTTTGAATCAGAAAAACAAATTTCACCTGAAAGTCATTACTCAGGATTTCTCTTCATTATTGAAATTTACAAGGTGCAAGACCCATAAGGTATTCAGTAAAGTACCTTGATGACTGAGCTCAAGTGACGACGATCTAGCACATGAGATAACAGCTTTAAAAAAATAAGACCTACATTGTAAGTTCATAAATTATTAGTTCCAAGGGTATGATGTAGAAAATAGTGCTATTCTTAAAAAGACATATAATATGGTATTTCCATGAAATTATTCTTCAAAAATGAAGGAGAAATAAAGACTTTCTCAGACAAACAAAAATGGAGGGAATTTGTAGTCAGGAGATCTGCCTTGTAAGAAATGATAAAAGTTCTTGAGAGAGAAGGAAATTATATAGGTCAGAGACTTGGATCTACATAAAGAAAGGAAGAATGTTAAAGGAAAATTCGAGAAAGTAAAATAAAACATTTTAGTTTTCTTATTCTTAGGTGACCTACAGGTAACAGTTTGTTCAAAATAATATCAACAATGTTTCAATGATATAGCTTACAGATGCTGTGAAATGAATGATGATAATGTCATAAGGGGCAGGAAGGAGGGACTGGAAATATTTTGTAACACTTGTGTAGTGGTATAGTGTAATTTGAAAATGCAGTTGAATTAGTTATAAGTATATTGCAAATACAAGGACAACCACTAAAAATGACAAAATAAGAAATATAGGCTGGCACAGTGCCTCATACCTGTAATCCCAGCACTTTGGAAGTCCAAGTTGGGAGAATCACTTGAGGCCAGGCACCAATGCACTTCAGTCTGGGTGACAGAGCAAAACCCTGTCTCTAATAAATAAATAAGAACTATAGATGAATCCAGCTGAGCATGGTGGCTCGCGCCTGTAATCCCAGCACTCTGGGAGGCCGAGGCAGACGGATCACCTGAGGTCAGGAGTTCAAGAGCAGCCTGGCCAACATGGTGAAACCCCATCGTTACTAAAAATACAAAAATCAGTCGGGTGTGGTGGCACATGCCTGTAATCCCTGCTCCTCAAGAGACTGAGTCAGGAGAATTGCTTGAACCCGGGAGGCAGAGTTTGCAGTGAGCTGAGACCACGCCACTGCACTGCAGCCTGGACGACACAGCCAGACTCTACCTCAAAAAAAAAAAAAAAAAAAAAGGGGGGGGGGGGAGAGAGAGAGAGAGAGAGAGAGATGAATCCTTATTATAGCAGGAGACCTTGACAACCCTCAATCAGTAGTTGACAGACCCTGCAGGCAGAAAATCAGTAAGGACACAGTTAAATGGAACAGCACCACCAACCAACTGTAAATAACTGACTTCTATAAAATACTTCATCCAACAATATCAGAATACACATTGTTCTCAAGCTCACATTCATCCAGGTAGACTACATTCTGGATCATAAAACACATTTTAACAAATCTAAAGGAAAAGAAATTATACAAAATATGCTATCAAACCACAGTGGTAGAAACTAGAAATCAGTAACAAATGATAACTAGAAAAATCCAAAATACTTACAGATTAAACAACATACTTCTAAATAACAGTTAGCTTAAAGAAGTTTTAAAAACATTTTATAATTAAAATGAAAATACAACTTATCAATCATTTATAAGATGAATTAAAAGCAGTGTATGGAGGGAAATTTATAGCATTGAATGCACATAATTTAAGCTTGCACTTAAGCTACTAGAAAATGAAGAATAAATTAAATTTAAACAGAAGAAAAGAAATAAATATTAGAACAGAAGTCAATGAAATAGAAAACATAGAATTAATAGAGAAAATTAACGATACCACAAGCTGGTTCTTTTAAAAAAGTCTGTAAAATTAATAAACTTCTAGCCCGGTAACTAATTAAAAAAAAGAGAGAGAAGACACAAATTGCTAATCTCAGAAGTGAAAGAGACCGCTACTGAGTCCATGAACATTACAACAATAATAAAAGAATTTCATGGGGGCCGGGCGCGGTGGCTCACGCCTGTAATCCCAGCACTTTGGGAGGCCGAGGCGGGTGGATTACGAGGTCAAGAGATCGAGACCATCCTGGTCAACATGGTGATACCCCGTCTCTACTAAAAATACAAAAAATCAGCTGGGCATGGTGGCACGTGCCTGTAATCCCAGCTACTCAGGAGGCTGAGGCAGAAGAATTGCCTGAACCCAGGAGGTGGAGGTTGCGGTGAGCCGAGATCGCGCCATTGCACTCCAGCCTGGGTAACAAGAGCAAAACTCTGTCTCAAAAAAAACAAAAAACAAAAAAGAATTTTATGAACAACTCTTTGCCCACAAAGTTGATAGCCTAGTTGAAACAGACCAATTCTTTGAAAGATATAGTCTACCAAAACTAACATGAGAAGAAATAAATAACCCTGGTAGGTTTATATCTACTGACACTGAAGCAATAGAAGAAAGAGGCTCAGCTTTCATTGGTGAAATATACCGAACATTAAAGAAACAAATTATACCAGTATTCCAAAATATCTTTCAGAAAATAAAAGCAGAAAAAATACTTCGTAACTCTTTCTATGAGGCCAGCATCACCCTAATACCAAAACCAGACAAAGGTATTACAAGAAAGGAAAACTACTGACCAATATCTCTCAGCAATATAGACATAAAACTTCTCCACAAAATATTAGCAAATCTAATCCAATAAGACATAAAAAGAATGATACACCGGAACCAATTGGGATTCATTCCAGGTATGCAAGACTGGTTCAACCTTCAAAAATCTGTTAAGACAATTTATTACATCAAAAGGCTAAAGAAGAAAAATCATATGAATATATTAACAGGTACAGAAAAAGCATTTGACGAAATTCAACACCAATTCATAATAAAAACTCTACCAAACTATAAATAGAGTGGCACTTCCTCAACTTGATAAAGCACATCTACAAAGAATCGTATCAAGTTGGCCACAGCCCACGTCATACTTAATGGTGAGAAACCAGTTGCTTTCCTGCTAAGTAAGATCAGGAACAATGCGAGAGTCTTCACTCTCACCATTCCTATTCAACACTGTGCTAGAAGTTTTAGCTAATGCAATAAGACAAGAAAACGATATCAAAGATATGTAGATTGGGAAGGAAGAAAAAAACTATCTTTATTCACAGATAACATGATTACCTATGTAGAAAACTCCTGAAACTAATATAAGACTATAGCAAGGCTGCAAGATACAAGGTTAATATACAAAAGTCCATTGTTTTCTTATATGCCAGCAACATACAATTGGAATATGAAATTTAAAACACAATATCATTTATGTTAGCACCAGAAAAGAA